GAGGATTAATGTGAGTTGGGAAACATGGAAATCACTCAGTGTACTATAGGAAAGCAGAAAACTAATCCCGAAACGCACGTGTCCCTAAAATGCTGTAAGAGTTAAAAAACAGAATTAAAGATAGGGAGGTTGGGCAAATCTTCATGAAAGAACTAGATTTTGAGCTGGGTGTAAGAGTTGAGTCTTTTCTTAGAGAATGACATACATGGGGAAATCCAGAAGGCAGCAGGACAAAGAAATCCCAGAAACACAGAGGGAAGGGCCTCCGGATGCAGCCCAGGGGTAGCGTGCACGCCCCAACAGCAAAACTCACACAACACAACAACCAAGCAAACGAAAGGGATAGAAAGGCGCAACATGCTCAGGAAGCAGAGAGACTAGAGGTGGGTCGGGGCCAACATGTACATGTAGGCGCGTTCATGACGCATCGGACGTTGTGGGCTTCAGTTCACAGGCGAGGAACAAAGGGCAAGAACTTCGACCCGCTCACTGTGACGCAATGGCACGAGGGCGAGTTTAGCAAATGAATTGTGCCCCTCAGTTCTGTCTGACCTGAAAGCATATTACAGGGATGGCCAGAAATCTTTCATAGTGATTCTCCTCTCCATGCATCACTGAAAAACTATGTAGGTCCTCAGAAGAAAGCTATTTCCTGGATTTTAAGTTGCACCTGCAATACTTACATTTTAATACAGGCTTCTAAAATTCATTATAGGATACCAGGGAAGCAACCTACAAACTGTCACTTGTCTCCACGGAAAAACTCATGGCCTGGTCTGTCCTAGGGGAGGGGACAGGGTGATGTGGGGTGAGGAAAGTCAGTGCAAATCCTTAATTAATGCATTCAGTAGAATATGTGTTGTTGGAGGGAATTAGAAAAACATGAAAAGTAACACGAGTAAACCTCAAGAGCTAAATGTAATATATTCTAGAATCTTAGAAAACTTCTTTGTAATTATAAACCAAAGTATATAGTGGAGATGATTATCAATATAACATATGGAAAAAAATTGTCAGTAGAAACATACAGAAAATTCAAACTTTGTCATAGCTTTGATTTTTTATTGTGTTTCATAGACAAAGATGGGGGGAAGAGGCAGGGTGCCAGGAATTGGACCGAGCCCCTCATGCATGCAAAATCATACTCTGCAGAGCTATGTCCTCAGAGCTGGAATATAGTCTTAAAATAATACATGTGAATAGCTCAGATAAATTTGGTGGGTGATAGTTGAAGGTTTTAAGTATAAATATAATAAGGATTAAATAAAAGACCTATCTCTAGGTCTTATAGCTGAATCTTGTAGCCAAGTCCCTTGAAAATACACATTGGTAATGTTTAACTTAGAAATATGTATACAGTGCCTGGGTGTGTGTCTGTGTGTGTCTGTGTGTCTGTCTTTGTGTGTGTGTGTGTGTGTGTGTGTGTGTGTGTGTGTGTGTGTGTTTGTAGGTTTCTGTGCATCCACCAATATGCTGTGCATGTACCTGTGGATGTCCACACGCCCATGGAAGTGTACATTTACCTTTTTATTTATGTGTGTGTGCATACACATACTCAAGCTCCTCAATTTAGGATGTGATTAATTCTTAGTAAATCCATAGAAAATTGAAAACTATCTAACATCATAACTTGGCACTACAGTACCCTGTGGAATAGTGGGTGACCAGGAACTTCAGCTCAGTGTCCCTGCCCAGCTTCAAAGGAAATTATTGGGCACAGTTATCACTCACCAGGGGAAGATCAAACTTCAAATTTCCAGCTATCCTCTATATCCACTTTGACCTCGTTGTAAAATCAAAAAGTTACAAGTCAATCACTGTAAGTCTTGTACATCTACAAATACCCAGAATGCTTTCATATGTATAAATTCACATGCAAGTCTGGGGGAAACTAGAAGCCAAAAACTGGGCTAGAATCCTGCATATGCCACCAACTAGCTCAGGAGTCTTGAACTGGAGAAACATATTCTCTACCCTTGCATTCCAGCTCCGAAGTCCTCTGTGGTTTGATGGGTCTGTATTTATGGACATGGACATGTACACTTGACCCTCTCGAAGGGCAAGCTGACGCGCACACCACTGCTTCTTGCCACAGTGGCACAAGCAGGGAGACATGCACTGACTTCCTACCTTGAGCAACACATGCTAACTCCTCTTTACCCCTCTCTTGGGCAGTGTCACCACTCTTGCTGCTCCTGTGCTGCTGCAAACGACGACAGCCAGAAGGCCTGGGGACCAGGTTTGCTCCTGTGCCGGAGGGGGGTGAAGGAGTGATGCATCCCTGGAGAATAGAAGGGGCCCATCCTGAGGACAGGGTGAGCCATCTGCCACTTCCAGGGAAGCAGGGGGTTTCTATGTAAATAGAGCAGCCCTTGGCCACGACACACCACACAGAAGTGAATAGAGGTGGCAGTAAAAATAGCTAGCATGAAACAATAACCTTGAAAACCTTTGTTCCTTTTCCAGGATGTGTCTCATATATGCGGACCCATGACAGCCTCAAATACCCAGGATCGTATTGATTCTTCCGGTCAGTAAACATCAGATTCTGTTTTTCTTTTTAAACTATGCAAAACTATTCATCAGTCCAACCAACCTCTTATACAAGTACCTTATTTAAAAAATAGAATATCGTCAAACTTTGAAAAGGATAGTATAGTAAAAGGAAAAGTGACATCATAGGCACTTTATTTTTTAATCTTGAAGTCCAGTCTATGAAGTGTGATTCAGCAATTAAAGGGCAGACTCAGAAACCAAAACTGATGGACTGAACTCCCTCCCAGCTGTGCTACTCTTGGTAGGAAGTCTCTGGCAAGACCCAGAGTCCAGGGCCTATCGCGGTCTCCTTAACATGAGGTTGCTCCAGCACCTCCTTCAAAGTGTTACTGTGAGGAGTGAAAAAATCTACACAGAGGTGTATGTTGTACTTAATATGTAAGTGTACATGAGACTGGGCGTAGTGTCGTGCGCCTGTAATCCCAGCTCTTGGGAGGCTGTAAATAGGTGGATCACTACGAGATCGATCTAGTATTGAGACCCTGAACACCCTGTAGATCCTTCCCCAAATTACAAAAACAATATATAGATATAGATATAGATATAGATATAGATATGGATATATGTAAGTATCATATGTGCACACACACACTACATACACATATACTGTGCTACAAAACGTGTATTGAAATAGTGCCAGACTAAGAGCTGTGTAATGATTGTTTATAATACAAGCTGTTGAGAAAAGAAAGGGCAGCCAATGCGTTCCTGTAATCATTGATTATTTGAATAGCTGTCCTTAATCTCCAGGTGCCTCTGCCTCACCGCTTCTTGTACTCTCCTAATCGCACCTAAGAATACCAGAAAGCAGGCCTGGGCCTAGGATTGCTCTGTGCGAAGCCCGCGTGGGAGGACGAGGGCTTCCACGGGGAGTTCCCAGTGGCCACGCGTGGGCTGGGCCCCTGCCCAGCGGGAGCTGTGGCGAGCCCGCTCCTGGTTGCAGTTCCTACCACACAGTATATGTGCATGTAGTGTGCTATAAATAATCATTGCACAGCTTTAGTCTGGCACTATTTCAACTTACATTTTGCAGCACAGTGTATATGTATGTAGTTCCTTTGACTTTGTTGTCAGACCTGGAGATTCTGGTTTCATTTGCACATCACCTTGCCTGGCTTTCCAGGGCCACTCAGTGCGTGCATGGTTATACTGCTGTCCTCTCTTTGCAGAAATCTACACCAACACCTACGCGGCCGGAGGGACTGTGGAAGGGGGTGTGTCCGGAGTGGAGCTCAACACCGCGGTTGGGGCTGCAGAGGGCCTGGCGACCGCAGGGGCGGCAGCGGGGGGCTCGAGGAAGAGGAGCTCCACCATGGGCACCCTGCGCGAGTACGCGGACACTGGCCTCAATGTGGCCTTCCTGGACAGCTACTTCTCCGAGGTGATCCATGCTCCTGCGCCCCTAGGCGCACTGGGGGCTGACAGTCCAGCAAGGCAGGAGAATGCTGATCCAGAGAAAGAAAGTGTGCATATGGCTTCTTGGTCCTTCCGCCTTTGCAGAAGAC